TGTGAGATGATGTGGCTTCTTACACAGAATAAGGCACGCAACATATTTCATAGTATTTAAACAGTGATAAAGGCATTGCATTATAAATATACTTTATTTTAATTAAAATTATAATAATTAGAACTCGGATAAACCGTATATTGCCGTAGTCGTGTGTTTATTAGTCACGTTGAATCAATGAAAGCAGTTGAATCTTCTGTTTATTCAGCTGCAGCGATCCTGGGTTTCTTCTGCGAGGCGTATTTGGAGTTTCTCTGGCCTTCGGATGAAGATTTACTGCTGATCACAGAACCGTGCTTCACTGAAAAATACGCATGACAATCGAAGCTTCTGTCGAATCCCGATCTCGATTCCATTTCGATTAATCGTGCAGCCCTATTTCCTAAGTCTAAATGTTTTAACAATTAAAACTTAATTTTATTGAAATACTTGCAATATTAGGCTATTATATTGTAAATATGTAATCAATGGCATAAAATAGCCTAACAACGATAACAATATTGTTTATTATCTATGGGACAATATATGGCACACCAAAAAGTCTACTGTCCACATGAGGCAACCCGCTCCGTGTCAAATAAAACCACTTTAATGAGGACACTCGTGACATTCTTCAAAAATAGCATTCATTTCTGTTTCTGGCATTTTAATAATGATCAAATGAGTGAGTTCAGACTTGAAAATGAAAACCAACCTGTTTGTTCCTCAGTATCTTCATGTTAAGAAAACGACTAAATATATAGAAGCTTCATATTTGTTTGTATATTTACATTTAGTAGTCACTCGAGCCTTTTCCGTTACTCGTGCAGATGCGCTTTACTCGCACAATAACGGTCATAATGTCAGATAAACTATTATAATGTTACATTCAATAACAATCAATTAACTTTACAGCGCTTGTAAAAAACCTATAAAGTAGACTGGCCGCGTTGTATCGATTAAAACACTTGATTAAATGATGAAAACCACAAACCTTTCTTCAGCCGAAACGCAGACGCGGAAGCAGCCCTGTGACGTCACATCACCAGATCAAAATAAAAGTCCTGTTGTATCGATTAAAACACTTGATTAAATGATGAAAACCACAAACCTTTCTTCAGCCGAGACGCGGAAGCAGCCCTGTGACGTCACACCACCAGATCAAAATAAAAGTCCTGTTCACGCGCTGCTTCGTCTACAATTAAAAAAAAGCGCATTTACATAAAGAAAACATAGCCTACAAACAATAAAACATGTCAGATATTCGGAGTGAAATACATTATGTCTAATCGTGTGCTGAAAATAACCACCAAGTATACAAAAATACAAAACTAAATATATAAAGAAACAAAAACTAAAAATCATATTTATTTATTTATTATTTTTCCACATTTATTTATACGTTTATTTAATTTCAGATTTATTGATTTATTCTGCTCAGAGTTGGCAAGGGACAAGCTCTGAGACCACAGTAACACCTTTTGTGTGACCAAATAAGGACTGAATGCAGTGGTACCCACATTTTTGTTTTTCCATGATAAAAAGTCTAGCAGTAGAATCAAATGTTTAAAGGGCCCATATTGTCAAAACTGAAATTTTCTTGGCTTTTATCATGATAACTGAGGTCTAGGGGCTATTTAACTACCATATAAGTTTCAAAACAGTCAGTCCACAGTAAAATGCACACAGCCTGCATAAAGTAGCTGTGATTTTTCACGAACCGTTGTGACTTCCGTAAAAAGTTGACGTCAGAACTACACAGTCACCGCCTTCAGTCAAAACTCAACTGTTTAACTCTAGGGGAGTTGGAAAATGAGCCTATTTTCAAAAATAGTGGACTGTTCCTTTAATGCATTAAAACTGTTTTTAAAAGACCAAACTCAGTAACCACATGATTAATAAATCATACTATGTACAGACAAGCACTGTTTAAATGCATTAAGCAATGTTAAGCGTTTCCTTATAACGGTTTTCTGTGGGAGGAAAACGCCTAACGCGTAATTAAACGCATTGCGTTCTTATCCTGGACTCGTCTGCTTGTCTGTACATAAGTATGATTTATTAATAATTTGTTTTCTGAGTTGTGTCTTTTTTTATACCTTACAAAGAGTCAAGTAACTTATTAGTTGAAATTGGTGAAGTATTAACCATCATACATTAACCTTTAAGGTGAAATTAGTGACACACCAGTGAATTTTAGTTTCTCACCGATGCAAAAATCCAATTAAAGATTTTACCAATCAAGCAAAATGACCACTTTTTGCCAACCTTTACATTTCAGTGCATTTAATCTTATCACAGAGTGAGAATTGCTAAAAAAATAAATGATGTTTCTTGTAATTTTTATTAGGGAAGGGCATGCCTGAAGGACACTGCCGTGCCTACCGTTTTCTCTTTCTCCAATGGCGAAGAACAACAGCCAAAAAGAAGATGCTTGATAAGTATTAATGAGGTAGTAAGTGGCATCCCTATTTCTGCTGTAAATAGTAATGAGGAGGTTGCATATGTAGACAATGGGAGTCGTGCCAACAGCCTTGCTGCCAGTCAGAGCAATGTCATGATGATGGAAGACACATCTGAACAGGCCTTTGTTGCTCAAGACGTCGTGCATGATGACATTGCTATGACAGCGGATGTGTGTGAGGATGTTGGTTTGGTTAGCAGTGTTCAACACACAACTCAGAGTGGAAAACTTGCACACTTAGCATCAGGTCACTCTTGCACTATGCTCTCTGAGTGATCACTGCTACTATATTTCAGAGTCTCCGAAAACACTTAAAAGGAAAGCTTATGAGGTAAAGGACAAGCTATGTGTGGCTCGCAAAAAGCTGAGGTTGAAAAGGCAAATGACAAGGTGACTAAAGGCAAGAGTTTCTTCCTTGAAAGCGGTAATCCAAATGCTTCAGAAGAAACGTATGATTTCAACCGAATGTGCCTCTCTTCTTGAAAGTCTGGATGATGTTCCCCGGGAGATCTTTCAGAGAATCCAAAAGAAGAAAAAGTCAGCGTTTTCCGAAAACTTGAAGCAATTCGCAACTACACTGCACTTCTACTCTCCAAAGGCTTATGACTATGTGAGAGAGAAGTTTCTCTTGGCTTTGCCTCATCCTCAGACCATACGAAAATGGTACAGTAGCATCTCTGCAGATCCTGGATTTACTGTTGCTTCATTCACAGCTTTAAAAAGTCATGTTGCTGAGCAGAAGAAAGTCGGAAAAGACACAGTTTGCTCATTAATGATGGATGAAATGTACATTCATGAGCAAACTGAGTTTGGCGGGGACCAAATTCATGGCTATGTTGACATCGGTGGTGGTGAGATAGAACATTTTGTGGCAATACAAGCACTGGTCCTCATGGTTGTTGCAATCAATGAGTCTTGGAAGATTCCCATTGCTGACTTTCTTATCAACAGCATGACAGGACCAGAGAGAGCAAGCATCATCCGCGAGAGCCTTGTTAGGCTTCATGCAATCGGAGTTAGGGTTGCCTCCTTGACGTGTGATGGACCCTCCCAAAACTTAGCAATGATCAGGGAGCTTGGTGCTAACTTGGGCATCATGGACATGAGACCTTACTTTCTCCATCCTGAGGATCACATCCAAAAAGTCCATGTGCCGTTGGATCCATGTCACATGCTCAAGCTTCTTTGTAATGTGTTCTCAACAGCTGAGGTTCTGGTAAGAGAAGATGGCCAGCAGATAAGGTGGCGGTACATTGAGGAGCTCCACAAGCTTCAGGAGAAGGAAGGCTTGCGTCTTGGCAACAAACTAAAAATGGCACATATTCAGTGGCGAAATCAGAAAATGAAGGTCAATCTTGCAGCCCAGCTCTTTAGCAGCAGTGTGGCTGAGTATTGTGAGCAGGAGCTGAAGTATCTCCAGTTCATTGGATGTGCAGCCACAGTTCAATTCCTGCGCACAATTGATGCGGCCTTTGATGTCCTAAACAGCCACAACCCACTTGGCAAAGGACACAAAGCACCCATCAAACCAACCACTAAACACCGTGCTAAGGGTATTTTAGAAGAAACAGAGTCACTTCTCCATGGGCTCAAAATGAAAGGAAGAGACAACACACTTGTACATGTGCATTCCACACAGAACAAGACACCCATATATGGTTTCATTGCTTGTGGCAGAAGTGTGATGGGCATCTACGAAGACCTGGTAGAGCAGCCAGCTGCCCCATGCCGATACCTTCTGACCTACAAACTCAGTCAGGACCACTTGGAGTTGTTCTTCTTTGCTGTCAGAGCGCGTGGAGGTAGGGCTGGGCGATATAGCTAAAAAATGTATCAACGATATAATGTTTCATATCGTTCGGTATCGATAATTATTGACATTTTTTATAACCTTTTTTCAAAACAAAGAGCAATAGAAAAAAATTAAAATAAATTTATTGCGACAAACAACAATTTATTTTTTTTTTTTAACAGTCAAACACAAAATAAAAATTAATTTCTAATGTTTTATATGCAGATTAAATAGGTCTTAATTAAACTTTTGATTTGTCTCCCGAGGCCACAGGACGCAGCGAAAAGGAATAAACCTCCACAGATTCGTGACGTGTTTTCTAAAAGTTTAAACTGTTTTAACTTTGCATGGCTTTCTATACATCTCTTGCGTGAGACGCGAGTGCAGCAGTCGTATTTGTCTAGAAAATGTGCTGAATATGCGTTCTGTGTGAATGGCTTGTTTCGGTTTTAACCTAATCAAGATCTTCTACGCATTGAGCTTCTATATTTCTCTAATATTTTGAATGAATAATGCAGCAACTGCGCGTCTCGTGGGCTAGACTAACAAAACATTAAACTACAACGTCACTTACATCATCATCACCGCATCTCGCGCACCACTGATGATGCTCCCTGACGCAAACCTAACATTCGATTGTACTATTTTTGCATTCAAATGCAAATGTTTATTTTAAATTCGACTAATATTCTTTTTTTTTTTCACAATCTCCTCATCACAGGCAGGCACAGCACTCATGTTCGTGTTTGTGTGTGCTGTCTGCGTCACTCATAGCACGTGCCTATATCGAACATTTGTTATATCGTTATCGAAGAAGGTGTACCATCGATAAATATCGATACCGTTTTATCGCCCAGGCCTACGTGGAGGTTACAACAACAACCCCAATGTAAGGCAGTTCCGAGGGGCACCAGGTGAAAAGGGGCACAGGCAACTGTCCATTTTTATGGAGATTAAGGGAAATGTGGTTGGTCTTTTCTGTCTGTCTGTCTGTGTATGTGGTTGGAGTACAGCATGTTTTTCTACGTAGATGTCAGAATGTGGCCAATTAACACGTTCTTTGTCGTTATCAGGCGTAGAACATGGAAAATGGTTCTGAGCCCGTCTCTTTGGACAACATTGTACATGTTACTTAGAGCCTGCATGAGAGGTGCCTAAGTAACTTTCAGTGTCAGCTTTAAAGGAAGTATGTGCATGTGTTGTCTCAAATTAACTTCAATGTCAGATGTACGTAGCTGTCAAATCAGTTGTTGAACATTATCTTAGAGCCTGCATAAACGGGGCCTAAGTATTTCCTATATATTGTATATAAGTGTTGTTGTTATTGTATATAGTGTGTGTGTACAGTGTATATATTTATATATCTACGTGCAATAGCAAGTTATTCTTTTATTGTGGTCTGTTCTTCTTTTAACATTCCTCTAAGCTGCTGTGCCTGTACTTTAATGTCCTCCGTCTACGGGGGATTATTAAAAGGAAC